GGTAGTCGTCCTGCGCCATCAGGGTACGTTCAGACGGTTGTTCCAAGATAAATCTCGTGATAAAGATGACTAGCGAGAGAGATTTTCCCAGGCGGCTTCTCGACGCCGCGTGCACTGAGCGAAGGCCCTGTACCTCTTAGCTGGACTGCGATGTATTAAGGGGCATCATGGCGCATTTCTACCCTACTGCTCAAGTCTGTCCATAATGGTTATAACAAGACGAGTTCTATCTTCTTCAGTCGAGCCTTTGCTGGCCAGACATTTCATCAAATAAAATACTGTGTTGCACAACAGTAGTGTGATTGGGTGTGGGAGCTGAGCCCAGGGCGCAAAGCCGGCGGGGTGCGGATGACCCCGCAGACTCTGCTCTACTGCTGTACCGAAATCGAAAATCAAACAGGCTGTGGGTGGGTGGGTGAGCGCAGAAATGGGGATTTGTTGAGGATGAGATCGCCGGCAGGTGGGTGGAAGGAGAGAGTGAGCTCACAGCCACCCCCTGCTCTTCGGCTCTCTCCCTCACAAGATGATGCATTGATCTCCTTCTCTCACTCAATGCATCCATCTTCTTCAGTCGAGCCTTTGCTGGCCAGACATTTCATCAAATAAAATACTGTGTTGCACAACAGTAGTGTGATTGGGTGTGGGAGCTGAGCCCAGGGCGCAAAGCCGGCGGGGTGCGGATGACCCCAAAATGTGCTGCCCAGCCAGAACAACGCCGGCTCACCCAAAGAAAGCAGCACAACTTGTGTGTCAGTAAAATATGCACGATATGCACACCGGAAAATGTGCAGGTTATGCCCAGTACACAATATGCGGATGTGCAGGCTATATACTGTCAAAATGCACGAAATGCAATCGAATTATGCATGATATGCACGCCGGAAAATGTGCAGGCTATGCACGGCGCAGGATATGCGTGGGTGCAGGCAACAAATAGGCGTAGGTGCATACTATGCACTGCCAAAAAGCACAATATGCATAGGAGAAAATGCACAGCATATGCACTAGTGCAGGCTATGCACTGTCAAAAAGCACGATATGCACAGGAGAAAACAGTGCAGAATATGCGCAAGTGCAGGCTATTGAAAAAGCACGATATGCACCACAAGAAATATGCAGGATATGCGCAGGTGTAGGCTATACACCGTTGAAAATGCACAATATGCACGCAGAAATATGCAGGATATGCGCAGCGCAAGGTATGGCAAGTGCAGGCTATGCACAGTCGAAATTGTATGATGTGCATTGAGAAAAGGCGCAGGATATGCGCAGCGCACAAATGGGGCATGTGCAAGCTATGCACCATCAAAAATGCATGAAATGCACGCCGAAAATACGCAGGATATGCGCAGGTGCAGGCTATGCGCAGGTGCAGGCTATGCACCATCAAAAGTGCACGATATGCACAGTGGAACACACGCAAAATATGCGCAGCGCACAATGGGCGCAGGTGCAGGGGATTCACCATCAAAAATGCACAATATGCCCAGTAGAAAATACGCAGAATATGCGCAAGTGCAGGCTATGCATAGTCGAAAAATGCATGATATGCATGCCAGGAATGCGCAGGACATGCGCAGCACACAAATGGTGCATGTGCAAGTTATGCACCATCAAAAATGCATGATATGCGCGCCGAAAATACGCAGGATATGCGCAGGTGCAGGCTATGCACCATCAAAAATGCACAATATGCCCACTGAAAATACGCAGGATATTGCCCAGTAGAAAAGACGCAGAATATGCGCAAGTGCAGGCTATGCACAGTCGAAAAATGTATGATATGCACCACAGGAAGGGCGCAGAATATGCGCAGCGCACAATATGTGCAAATGCAGGCTATGCATGGTCGAAAGATGCACGATATGCACGCCAGAAAAGACACAGAATATGCGCAGCACATGATATGCGCATGTGCAGCCTATGAACACTCAAAATGCACGATATGCATGCCCAAAAGATACGCAGAATATGCACGAATGAAGAGTGCACAATATGCACGCCAGAAAGGACGCAGAATAATCGCAGCGCACTCTATGCTCAAGGGCAGGCTATGCACAGTCGAAAATTGCACGACATGCACGACATGCACGATATGCACGCCCAAAATATGCAGGATATGCGCAGCACACGATATGCGCAAGTGCAAGCTATGCAGACTCAAAACATGCACGATATGCACACCCAAAAATACGCAGGATATGCGCAGCGCACAATATGCGCAGTGCAGGATATGCACAGTCGAGAAAAAGCATGATATGCACCTAGGAGAGGCGTAGAATGTGCCCAGCGCATGATAGGCGCAGATCCAGGCTATACACAGTGGAAAATGCACAGTATGCCCAGTAGGAAAATACGCAGAGTATGCGCCGCAAGTGCAGGCTATGCACAGTAGAAAAATGAACGATATGCATGCCCAAAATACGCAGAATATGCGCAGCGCACAATGAGCGCAGGTGCAGTCTATGCACAGTCGAAAATTGCACAACAAGCACAACATGCATGATATGCACGCCCAAATAATACGCAGAATATGCACGGTGCATAATACACAATATGCACGCCAGAAAGGAAGCAGAATACGCGCCGCGCATGATATGCGTATGTGCAGGCTATGCACAGTGGAAAATGCACGATATGCACACCCAAAAACAGCAGAATATGCGCAGCGCACGATATGCACAAGTGCAGGCTATGCACAGTCGAAAAATGCACGATATGGACGGCAGAAAGGACGCAGAATATGCGCAGCGCACAATATGCGCAAGTGCAGGCTATGCACGGTCGAAAGATGCACGATATGCGAGCCCAAAATACGAAGAATATGCCCAGCGCACAATGAGCGCAGGCGCAGGCTATGCAAAGTTGAGAAAAAGCACGATATGCACCAAGGAAAGGCGCAGAATATGCGCAGCACACGATATGCGCAAGTGCAGGCTAGGCACAGTCGAAAAATGCACGATATGCACAACGGGGAGGGCGCAGAATATGCGCAGCGCACGATATGCGCAAGTGCAGGCTATGCACAGTCGAAAAATGCACGATATGCACGACAGGTGGGGCGCAGAATATGCGCAGCGCATGATATGCACAGGTGCAGGCTATGCACGGTCGAAAAATGCACGATATGCACGACGGGGAGGGCGCAGAATATGCGCAGCGCACGATATGCGCAGTGCAGGCTATGCACAGTCGAAAAATGCACAATATGCACAAATGCCAAGTAAATATTGACGCTATGTGGAATCGAGCAGCGCCTGGCCCAGGAAAAACAATCCAGAATGACGAGTGGCCGTGGAATACCCCTGGAGCGTTGTCAGAAGACGCCAGGAACCCAAAAGACCGAAAATATGCCATAATCTTGCACTGGGTGCGATTTAATCGCAGGAAATGAGCATCCAATAGGACTGGGAGGGAAAAGCGAATAAGCGCTGGAATCCAAGCGAAAAACCTGGCTCCAGGCTGCAGGCTGCAGGGGGGAGACTGTTGCTTGTCCAGAATGAGGGCTGACCGCGAAATAACCCTGCAGCGTAGTCAGACAACGGAAAGTGCCCCAAGGATCAAAAATATGCGATAATATCGCTCTGGGTGCGATTAAATCGCAGGATTTGAGCGCCCAATGAGAGAGGGAGGGAAACCCGAATAAGCGTGCAACTGAAGCGAAGAGGCATTCGCAGCTTGCAGGGAATGGGGCAGGGAATTTCGTAGCAAATGGGCGGCCAGAATTCGAAGGAATGGACTGGGATTACTGTCTGGAAGATCAGGGGGGTCGGCAGCTCGAAGTGGGCGGAAAGGGGAGGGTTCTGAAGGCTGGGGGATGTAGATGGCGTCGTTCTAATGCCAGGATCGAGTCAACGAGCAGTGTATCTGTCGAGCTCCAACTGTAAGAAGAGAGGGAACTACTCAGCTTCGTGAATGGAATTGGGTGTATAGGCCCAGAGACACTCTCAAATAGCATCCAAATTTCGAGCTTGAGACAGATTCCATAGTTCACAGAGACGAATGCAGATAGTGTCGAGTTCTGGGTGATAGTCAGTCATATAGAAGCATTAAAGAGTGTGTAATAAGAGCGCAGAAATGGGGATTTGTTGAGGATGAGATCGCCGGCAGGTGGGTGGAAGGAGAGAGTGAGCTCACAGCCACCCCCTGCTCTTCGGCTCTCTCCCTCACAAGATGATGCATTGATCTCCTTCTCTCACTCAATGCATCCACGGGCCAACATTGATAGGGACAGTGAGTGATACTCATTCTGTCAGAATCTGAACGAGACAAGCACCGACAGTTCTCTCGCAGTCAGGGTAGACAGCTCGAGCGCAGCCCTGGCCCGTGTTCACAGCTGCACCGACTGCCGCCATCATTGCGAAAGATTTTGAGCATTGTTAAACCCGAAAAGTATGAGAGTGCCGAGGCACTACTTGGTAATAACAGCGGGCAGATATCCCTCAGAGATAACCGTTCCCCTGCGAATTGACCGTCGAGATCCGCACGGGCGCATTTGTTGTGCAAGTCGATGAACTCGAAGATGCCGGCGTGCCATGGCTCCAGGTAGAACGCGAATGCACTGAGTCGCATGTTCCCGCCTTGATCCCACGCACTCAGCGGTCGTGCCAAATGCGCGGGACATAGACACGACGCCGTTAGAACAGCCGTTGGTACCAGCGATGTAAGGACTGCAGAATGATGAGCACATGACCTATGAGATCAGGTTCTGTGCGTACCCAGCAGCTCGAATGTTGCGAACGCTCAAACCGACACCACTGGCGGGCGCTCTTGTTGATCATTGCGCAACTTTTCAGGGTGTTGTAAATCTCTTCAATAGCACCGTTCAGACATCGAGCGGTATGTCTCAAGCACTTGTTCGAAGTGAGAGTCGCGGATGCCAACGCCGGCTCACATAATGAGGCGCTGGGGATGTGCCGAAGCTGCGACGGGAGTACCAGGTACCGCACTCAGGGACTGGTACACCTTGCTCTAGCGCTACGTCGAACCAAGTCCCTCGACTAGGGTAATCGGCGGAGCGACCAGCACCGGGCCTCGTCGAGGACAAAGCCGTCGATCACAGACTGTTTGGAATTGGCGTTCTTCGTCAGGGACCAGACTTTTGCACTCTCCACCGCGTGTGCTGACATGGCGCACCGCCAGCACTCTCCTGATCCCGGAATCACAGCCCCTGGCTCGAGGGGAAAGCCCGTGCTCTCGATGCGAAGCATTCCAGCAGCTTGCGTTGCACGGTTGTCGCTCTGCCACTTTGCCACCTGGCCTGCATATGTTGCCCGGCCCTCTGGTGTATCCGGTTGCGCCGCACGGATGACCTGCTCTAGGATCGTCCGGAGCTGGGCCAGTTCCTCTGTTGTTGGTACGTAGTCACCCCCATCTGGGATGGGCGCGGTGGGCGGGGCTGAAACGGTTGACCCCGGGGTGGGGCTGGCGCAGCCGATGGTGCCTGGCGTGGTTGCGGAGGTCGTGGCGTTTGTGCGGGGCGGTCAGACAAGGATGTGTACGACGGGGGCACGCATGGACTGGAACATCTGGGTCATATCACTGGCCATGTCCTTCCGCAGAACAACTGCCTGCTGATGTATGGCGGTCGTTGCGAAGGTCCGCCAGTGGGATTGCTCGAATCTTCGCAGCGACCTCTTCCCAGTTCTGCAGCGCTGGAGCAAGGGCCTTCGTGATGACGCTTGGCTGGTTGCCTTTCTACAGGGCATAGCCTGACAGCGAGGACGATATGTTGGCACCCGAGGCCTGGTCCTCGATCCTGTTTGCAATGTGGTCCCGGGTGTGTATTGCTAGTGCTCCCACCTTGAGCTTCTCCTGCGCCAGCTCCTCCGTGGTGATCCTCATCTTGCACAACTCCACCTCGTATTGCCGAGGAGTCCGCTCGATGCCTTTCACGCCCGGAAATTTGCGCGCAAGTTCTGCGAGGTACCCAGCAAGCGAGGCCCGGTGTGCCGTTGCGGCAGGAAGCCCCTTCATATGCCTCTCTGCTGGACTATTCGGCTGCAGGCGGTCGTTGCTGCATCTATCTGCTCATCGGGCACCGTGAGTTGGTGGTTGTGCATATACCGTCGCATGGCCCGGCAGAAGTCGGCAGTGGGCATGCTCAGTCCATCACGACGGCCCGAAAATAGCTTTATCTCGGGCGAAGACATGGCGCGGCGCGGTTGTGGACCAACAGGCGCGTTTTGGGACCGGAAGGATGGAGGCGGTGTGGGGAGCGTGGTATCAGTCGACAGCCGTCGAAGGGGCGGCGGGGACCCGATATCTGTCAGAGGTGATGTGCCAAAGATGCTTGGCTCTGAATTACTGCGCTGCCGCTCGCGTAAACAGCGGGTGCGCGCCCGGGTCGAAGGGGCCCAGGAGACGCGCTTGATGGCGCGTGGAGGCGGGAGTCTTGCACGTGCTGATCTGCGGCACCGATTGTCCTCGCGGCGCTGTCGCGTTGTAGATCGCAGGTCGCAGGTTGCAGGAAAAGACTTTTCCCCTCGGAATCGTCTCAGATCATCGAGATCGGAGGGCGTGGTGCGAATCCGACTCCAATCAACAGACGGAATGGGCGCGGGCGGGGAAATCCACGCGGGATCTGGGTGTGACTCCGATAGTGCACGTGCTATGACAACTCTGACGAATGATCCGATGGCACAGCCACCCGATCGCTCTCGCGCTCGCCGCCGCTATCGAACAGAGATGTCTCGAGCCGCGATCAACGAGATCAGTCATGAAGCAGGGTGCGAGGATGTGTCGGATTAAGAGTCAACTACTCCGCATGCATCGGCAAAGCTCGAGGCGAAATGGTTTTGTGCGTTCGGTGCCTCGGGAGGTGGAGGCAACAAACGTCCGTTGAGCATTCCCGGCGAGACCGGCCCGAGCGACGGTCCAGCACCAGCGAGCTTCTTGTCAAACCCGGATCCTCTGTTCAAGGGCCACGACAAGATCTTGGAGGGCCTGATTCTCCACTTCAAGCAATGGCGGCGATGTTGCTAATCGGACGGTTAGTTCGAGGTAACAAAGGCACAATTCGGGACGAGAACACACCTCGATCTAGAAGGGGCGCTTTGCTGGTCTTCTGATTGAACAAGAGAGGAACATCCTTCAGTTTAGCATACTCATCGCCCAGCTCGTTGCGTTGGCGCCGTTCGGCTTCGACCCGCTGGGGACGCGTCGCCTCCTTCCAATTATGAGCCAGATGCCGGCGGAATACGCGAACGCCAGCTTGTCGTCGTCGTCAAACCCTCGGGAACGTCCGCGGCGGCGGCGACCGACCGGCTGAGCTGGTGGGTGTCGGCGTAGGATCTTGACGGACGTGACGGTGGACGAGGCATTGACCCCGCTCGAATATGACCCGTCACAAAGCCCGTCGAAAGCGCCTGAGCCAGAGAGAAGAGGGGACAGAGGGTCGTACATGTCAGGTGAATGAGGAAGGGGTGAAGTCGGGACGCTTAGGCCGCCATGGTAAGATTTGCTGCAGTCTCAGCAGCGAGATTCTGCGAAGCAACAAAATGAGCGAAAGGCAAAGAACGCACGTTTGCGTCACGCACGTCAAGCTCCACGGGTGTTACCCGTTATAGACGCCAGCGACGGCCTTCTAGATCACTCTAGCGGCACATTGAATGCGACGCGATGGTGGCAGAAGGCGTCACGTACTCGGCGGGTTTAAGAAGTTATAGTCCAATCCGTAATGAGCTGCTTGATCCGACTCGTCATCTGGACATGGGCTGTGAGCAGTTTGTTCGCGATCGGGGGACCAAGACGCTTTACCTTGTAGAGAAGGACCGTTTCTTTGCAGCTGAAGAGAACAGAACGGGCCAAGCATGGATCAACACGCGTCGCGCGCGCCTTGGCACCACATAAACGCCTATAACGAGAGACGCGAAAGTGAGCGCCAGCGGTAAGGTCGCCTGCTCATCTCGTTTGAAGGCGTGGACCACGGCGAAGATAAGGGAGATGAGGAGGGCAGGAATTAGGAGTGGAGGTGCGGTGAGGTAATTGGGGCGAAGTTGGCGGGGGCAGCTCTTGCAGATGCCGCGGACCCTAGTGCGCTTTGTCACGGTTCTCGTTGGGAAACGTTGGCAACAACGCCTCGGTCGCGTATGACGACTTGCTTAGCCTTGACGGGCAACTCTTCGCCGGGGATGACCCTGCCACAAAAGACGCGTAGCTAGGGTCAATTCAACAGAACCAACGCGGGTAGATATGGACGAGCTTACACCGAGACGCGCTCCAGAAACCGCTTTGCCGCAGCATTCTCCGCGAACTTTCATGCCGCAGCACTGGATCAGGGAGGGACACAGGGCTGCCGATGCTTTGCGTAGCAGCGCCGGTGCTGTCGCAGGGGTGATGAGTTTGAGGGCGGCCGTCCTTGGGAGCACAGGGGAGGAAGCGTGAGCTGGGCAAGCACTGCGCAGTTTGCCGAGTCCCAGGGTCGGGTCTGGAGGCGCCTGGCGGCTTATGCGTTGGCCATCTCAGCGGTATGAGGTCAAAGGAAGGAGGCGCCTTGCTTGTTTTTACATGGTTTGATAGCGGGCACGTGAGCGCTACTAGCGTTCCTAGCGAGTCGCGTATTGAATCGGCTTTAGCAAGTCGGCTTAGTAACACTCGAGGCAGCAGTATGGTCACGTGTATCACGGCGTCAATCACATCATCACCGACTCGGAAGATAAGCTTATCCGCACGACTCACGCAAATCTCATAAAGCACAAGTTGGCGACTGAACATTACAAAAGTATAGAAACCCGGAAGGCCCTGCTCTATAACCGAGACGGCTGACAGTGACGGCGTGATCTGGGGTCCCGCTCACCGAATCGTAGACTTAGATATTGGTAATATACCTTTGTAGACGGCTGTGATCAGTAAGTGATAAGTAGTGGCAGGAAGACTGAGTCGACACAACAAAAGATAGTATATCAGTAGAATCTGGTGATCCGAGATCAGGCACGTGACAAGCTGTACGCCAAGCTGCTTGCTACGTCATCGTATGATTGCGATCCAAAGTAGACTACAACACCATCGCCGAGATTACAGCGGTCATCACGAGAACTGCGCCAGCAACTCCACAAGATGCATATAAATAAAGACGCAAGGACTTCTTCAGGTCAGCAATGTCTGTCAGCTGCTTCAGCACTTGGGCTTCGAGAGGTCCAGGCCCGCCTTTCGGCTCCTTTATTTGCGCAGACACGCTGGCAGCACTCTTCTACGCTAGTCATCAGTGAGTTGCTTAGACGCATTGGATCAGGATCCCTACGGCATGTTTCCAGACACAGATACTGACGCTGTTTGCGCTCGCGACAAGGAAGTTGCCATGTGCGTCGGGCTCAGTACACTGGCAAAAGAGGCGTCACTATACGTCGCCGCTCGATTATGCAATCCATACCGCCAGTGCCTGGACTGTTTGACAATCTAGCACGCGGTCAACAATGATCAGACATCATTGAGAGATAAGACGTACCGGGGTGTTCCAGACTTGGGAGACGCTTGGTTGGCAAGTTGAAGAGGTGAATTAATCCCGCATCCCCGCCGCACATGAGAAAGTCACCGTGCCCCGAGAGGAGCGCAGGCTTTGGCGAACAACTGCTGTCAGAAACCTGCAGCGAGACCTTGGGTTTGAGGGATGCAACTCCATCGAATACTTCGTAGTCGCCGGTTGTAAGATTAGCCACGACTTTGCAGTCCATTGCTATCGAGATTGATCCTCTGGGACAGTGAGCTTACTTTCATGCAGACTGAGAACTTACATAAGAAATCCAAGAGTAGAGAGTGGCTGGAGGCTGTTCAGTGTGAACAAATCGAGAATTTCCCTGGCGAGTCAATTAGAGGAGTTGGGGAGACAGTGACAACGGAGCCAACATTGCCCCCGACCGATAGTGCACAAGAAGTGTTCGGGGGTTGGCAGTCAGGAAGGAGAAATGACAGGGTATGTCCGTTTTCATCTCATGGGTAGCCATGTGGGTTAGAACGTCTAGGAACCCGTCCAGTTGAGCACGTTTCAACAAGAAGAAGGACAACCCACCATCAGCCCAGCGGTACGCCTTGATGGATCCCTTGAACGATCCAACAACAAGGGTCGAGCTCAAGACGTCGAACGCTTGGAGTTCTACAGGATCGTCTGCCGCTGGAAATAGCTTTTCTATCCGCAGAGAAGATGATTGCAGGATCATCTAGGAGATAGCTGAGTCGTGACCTTGGAAGACAACAAGTTTCGTGCCTGACTATCTAACTGATAGAGAGCAATAACTCCAGCACCGGTGCCTATACACAACCACGGTTCGGAAAAACCCGCACTGCCTGGCAAGAACAGCAAGTGCGTAACACATCCCCAGCGGACATCATGAATGGATTCTTGGGAGGGAGTCCCTGCCTCGACGTCCCAGAAATGGACGGAGTTGTCTTCGCCTGCGTGAGTGACGCTGGGCGCAAGTGGCTCAAAGAACGAAGACGCTCACCCCCCATGAGAAGCACTCGTCCATTAGGGCAAAAGACTAGCGCATTGGGCGCATCACTTCCTGTGGTCTGTACGGTGGTTTTGTGTTTGAATACGTGAGCCATAAAGTTGGGAGCAAGCAACAATCGCTGATACTTTCAGATCTCCGGCAAGACATTCCGATCAAACGCAGTAGAGTTTATCTGCCGCCGTTGATAAAACCAGTTTTGGGCAGCAACTGTTGTCTGTATGGTTTAGTGAGCTAATGCGTTGGGATTTTATCAGTTTTGGGAGGTCGACTGTTCGATTCCCCCTCGAAACTCTTTTCTTTTCTGGCTGGGGGATACCTCAGCCTAAAGCTGTGGTTATATCCAGTGGCTTTATTCTCAATACTACATTATGGGCTCGTCGCGCAGTGGATCGCTTCGGTGTCCAAATCCCTGCTCTATCGTGGAAAATGGTTGGGAGTGAGAAGAGGAGGCCTTGTGGTTTTTAGCTTTTGTTTGGTGCGCGATTAATCAGCCAGGGATCGCGAGTCGGCAATGAGGTAGAGTTTAGAAAACGCCCCACGCGACGGGCGGAAACAACGCCTGGGGCACGTGTCGTGGTCACGTGCTCGCGATCCAACGCATGACCACTCTTCATCTTAGCATTTGGGTGTGTGCGACCCCGGGAAATGGTGTTACTTCCGAGTGTCTTTGTTCTCGCTGAATGTGTGTCCTTCCTTACTCCCCCCACTATCGATTCTCGCATTATGACCAATAACCGTACCTTCTTGCCCCATAGCTCCCAGGTGCCCACATTCCGTTTCCTGTTCGCATTTGTTTCATTCATGAGGCTAGACCATCGATCGTCTTGTTCCCGGACGGCTTTACTGCACAAAGCGCGAGGGACCCACACCAGTGAATGTTTCGGTTCGATCTTCACGCATGAATGGCCACCGCACGCCTCGTTATGTCATGCCTGAAGGTCTTTTTGCCGAACTGCATATACAGCCTCACGTACATGACCTATCGGTCTTTATCACTCGTCGAAGCGTCCAAACCGAGTTCCGCGTTTACTTCCGGCGCCACTGCCGCCTCTCCAGGAACGCAACTAAGCAGGGGATCAGAGGGGAGGTCCTCTTTATGCGTGCGGGCAAGCAATGCAGAGGCGCTGTAGTCGGGACACGGGCGGGCGACCCTTTGCTCATTACTTCCATTTTCAATCAGTGCGTCCGTTCTTTTCTCTCTCATGTTTGTCCGTTGAGCCGTTACCCAAGGATTATGCAAGACATTATCGACTTCCAGGTCAATAACAAGAAGCTCCCATCTCTCTACGAGCTGCAATACCAAGCTTAATACCATCTCTGTTGAATCCCCGTGTAGACTAGATTGCTCTCTTAAAACCTGTACTCATAGTTTTCGAATTTTCTTTCGTCTTCGTTCGAACATCATGTACACAAAGAAGAGCGTGCAAGAAAATTGGACAAAGTGAGCATGTAAAACTCTTCAATCTATGCTCATTTCTACATCACCATCGTCATCCTCCTCTCGGTCATCTACTGCCCCGACGAAGCACGAGTCGGTAGCAAGGGACTGAGATGTGTTCAGCAACATCGCCGGTTTCTTCATCTCGAAAATTCTTCACACCTTTCGTAATGGAACGACAACCATGCCTTCACAAAACGACCCATCAACAGTTGCAAGTCCTTTCAAGTCGCAACTGGCAAAATGCCCTTCGATCTGCTCAAGAGTGAGTACGACACCCTTATCGTCAGCTTCTAGGTCACGGCTCCAGATCTTCCCACCGAAGTCTGGATACTTCAAGAATGGATCTTGAAGCAGGCAAAGTGGCCGATACGGACGACACACAATATACACTGGCTCGGCCCCAGCCAAAGACTGGATGATGTGCTCAATGGCCAGGGGTTGACGTGTACCGCCCTTCGTGTAGTATATTGAGCTGTTACCGCGGTGCTTCAGTCGGGTCGAATACGAAAGGCCCT